CTGATTCAATTTTTTATAAAGATTAAGTAAGACCAAGAGGTCATTTTGAGCAAAATCATCATCAGGGGGGTTAACAAAAAGAAATAAACAACACTAAACTCATAGATTAGGCCTACATCTATTATTTACCTTGAATTTATTACTGGATCCCTTATAACGAATATCCTGCTATAACAGACATTTCGCACCAGTCTCGTTCTAAAAGGATTCCACTGTACACGGCGGTTCACCTAAAAGAAAGTCATTTCTCTGAGTCAGATCTAGCAGAAAGTCAAGAGAACCCACCTTGGGAAGTGCAACTGCACATGGTTAACAACAAAATTATGATGTATTTTAGTACTAGTAGGAGTTTTACGGCACTTGCAACATAAATAGGTCATGGAAGTGCCGTTTTACTTTTAGTTTTAGTAAGTGTTTTACGGCACTTGCAACACAATAAGGCTAAGTGCCGAAGATTAGAGGTGTTACAAGAGAGTAACAAACATAAAAAAGTAAGAGAGATAAGGATGATAGACGTTTGATTATCAGATAGGAAAGAAGATGACCACACCAGAGCACCTGCCAACCACCCGCACAGAAATAATAGTTCCTCGTGAACTCTATGCACTCGCATGCTAAGGATAATAATAATACATGTAATATAAGGAGGCCGCTGACGAACTTGGACAATAAAAACCTCAAGAACCAAATCTGAATTTGCGTGTCCCTCATATTTCATCTCAGCCTAGTGATTTGAGGAAGTGAAAATTAAAATACTCCTTAGTAAAAGGCACACTTAGAAGAATCAAATTTCCAAAATCCATGAAAAAAACAGCCGCACTTAGGGAACCCTCACAACAGACCGCAAGCTTATCCACTTTTTCGATCCATGCATTTCTTACACTTTCTTGGGTGTAGCCAAAACTCAAGCATTGAGTAGGTGCATGATTTGCTTTTTATAAACAATTTATAACTATATGACAGTGACACCAATCAAACAAGAATATGTCACACATGAAACTGAAAATAAAAAACAGAAAAGAGTTAATGGGTTTTTTAAACTTTAATTCTCATTTATAGTACAGTAACATTTCTCATGCTTGCAAATCTTAAGGACAATGCAATCCCCCAAAAAGCACACAAACTTGAGTCAGTAAACTGGACCTGAAAGAAAAGTTAATGATTAATTTATAGGTTTATTAATGCTCTTTTCAACATTGTTAGGTAAATATAAGGAGGCGGGACCTCCAAAATTTATCATCAATCACCAATAGAACCCAGCCAACAGACTGAAAGCCTTGAAAACTTCACGGAACGACCCTCGGTCAAAAAAAACCTGGTTGGGGATTCAAACTAGAACTGAACAGTCCCCTCCATACTCCATAGTCAAGCATGATACCAACTGAGCTAAAAGAGCATGTTCTGTAAACTGGAAGTGTACGTAGAAAGTCAAGGGAGTGAGAAAGTCAAAAAGTTATTTCTATTGTTGCATGAGCAAACACAAAGATTTCCATTTAGCTTGGGGAAAAAAGAAAAAAAAAAATTCTGTCCAGTTTTGAAATGACTTTTTGATATCTCAAGCCATAATTTGCAATAAAAGAATTCAGGCATAAATCTTCACTGTTACAGTTAAATGGTCAAACTAAAATAAAAATTAGGCATTCGTCACTTCTTTCTAATAGTAGAAATAGCCAAACTGGTAAGGGCTGTCTTAAAATTGAATAATGATTTTCTCACTGTACAAGTTATTTAGTCAATGGGGGCAGTAGAACACAATCACATGAGATAAAAGATAAAGGAAATATAACTCACAGTCTTTTTAACGATGTATCTCACAACGGCATGTACAAAAAAAAACCACAATGATGATACAAAATTACATCATTTGCACAAAGGACTTACTTTACAAATGTTCAAACCAATAGTCGTACAAAGAAATGCATCATTTATTGCCATGCACTGCTGTGCTCCATATATGATTCAAAAGGAAATGTCTTGCTCAGAACACAACCAGAGACCATCCAAATATATACTTTAACATTTCCGTTTCTTACTTTGAGAGGCTTAGGGAAAGCATATATATCTACATAAAAGTCAGAAAAAACAGCAATATAATATATACATCAAACAATGCATGTATCAGATTCTAAAACAAAAGTTAAAAAAACAATAGCAATATTACATCAAAATAGAAAAAAATTATTAACACTGAGTATGGGTCATTCCAGAACCACAGTCAATAACAAAAAATTAATCACTTACAAAATCTAAAGTGCTACACAAAAGTGAAATTAAATAGACTAGCGTAACACACAAGCTAGTGTGTACAACCAGAGTAAGCTAGCAATACTCTGAAGACAAATGGGTCGCAAAAGGTTCAGCCTACTTATTTTAAAGGAACCACATAAAACCATTAAGTGGGGAGCAAAGCACCTTATGCAAATTTGTTTTTTAGTTTAGTTTTAGTAGAGGTTTTACGGCACTTGCAACTGCATTAGGTCATATGAGCACCAAGGGGTGGATGTCAACAGAGATGTCCTTACAGGGAATCAGACATACTCTGCTCACCTCTCTAGCTTCACCAGCACAAAGTCTGCTTCGACTATCAAGGCACCCCGGAAATAGCGAGTCACAAGAGTGTGACAAACATACAAAAGAAGTAGAGGGAAAATGACAATAGTAAGGACTAGGAAAGAAAAAGCAGCAGCTCAGGCAGTTATGAGCATGACATTGATGAATCAGCCCATTTACAATAATTTTAAAGTTCACTTGAGATGTTAATGAATGCCCGCCC